TAAAGGCTTTTATAGCCATCTCTGCCTGTTGTTCTAATATAAAAATGAAATTCACTCAAAATTTCTTCCATGGAATAGGCAGATAATGGTCTCTTAATACCTAATTACTCTTTTATGCTGTGCTTATTCCCCTGCTGTTAGGAGAATGTGATTTAAAAGCAGGAAGGAAGCAATGTCACTATGGAGTCTCTGAAAATAGGAAGGAAGTACTCTGGACTGATAAAGGTCAGCATGACATTCATAGTGAATGAGCCAATCTCATTCCAGCTGAGTTAAAGTAATCTTTCTCCAATATTTGTTCCCCATCAGCCCAAGTCAGGAGCAAAAGAAAGGTGAGAAAGTGTACACACACATACACACACACAGAAAAAAAGCTAACTTATTACAAGCTGCTTGTCACATGCCAAATATTTGTAACATTTCTAAAAATATATAACTACAGAGCTTCAATAAGCTGGTATTTACAAGGTAAAATAATTTCAAAACTTACCAGCACCCCAGCCCCAAATTTACCAGCCCATATTGAAACTTAAGTGTTCCTGATCTACTCCTACCCCACCCTCCACTGAAAATGAAATCATCTTGCTATGAAGTGCTAATAGAAAAAAAAATACTCTGATGGCTTACTATCTATCTCTCTATCTATCTATATGGCATTTGACTTACAGATGTACCTTAGTTCAAGCACAGAAATGCAAGTTAGTCACTTAAAAATGGGTTATATAATTCTATGCTGTCTACCCATACTTTCCAGTCTGAATCTACTCACCTTTGTAACCTCCTTTGAAAAAAAAATTTTTTTTAATTTGAGTAGAGTTGACACACAATGTTACATCAGTCTCAGGTGTACAACACAATGACTCAACTTCTTTATACCTTATGCCATGCTGTAGTCTCCTACTTAAATAATCATTTTTATCAATTCTCATTCCCGGCCCCACAAAAGTACTTGGATTCTAAAACTTCTATATCTGTGTATCTATATTTCACTATATTCTAACACTTAAGACCCAGCCTGAGGGGTACCTGGGTGGGTCCGCTGGTTAAGTATCTGACTCTTGATCTCTGCTCAGGTCTTGATCTCAGGATTCTGAGTTCAAGCCCCATGTTGGGCTCCACGCTGGGAGTGGTGCATACTAAAAATAAATAAATAAATAAAATCTGGAGAGGTTCACTTGCCCGAATCTACACAGACTGAGGAACCCACAATCATACCCAGGTTCATATGTTTCTGAGAACCAAAGATATTAACCACTATTCTATTTCATTCCGTATGTTTTTATCTCTCTCTTTATTACATGATTGAGAAAACACAGCATGGATGGACTTCCATATGCATAAAAATGAAAAGCTGCAGGCAGAGGAGGAGGGAGAAGCAGGCTCCCCACAGAACAAGGAGCCCGATGCGGGGCCCATTCCCAGGACCCTGGGATCATGACCTGAGCTGAAGGTAGCCGCTTAACGGACTGAGCCACCCAGGTGCCCCCTGAGTATTTACTTTAAAGAAGGGGAAATTATGGGGCACCTGGGTGGCTCAGTCTGTTAAGCGGCTGCCTTCAGCTCGGGTCCTGATTCCAAGGTCCTGGGATCAAGCCCCACATTGGGCTCCCTGCTCAGCAAGAAGCCTGTTTCTCCCTCTCCCACTCCCCCTGCTTGTGTTCCCTCTCTTGCTGTGTTTCTGTCAAATGAATAAATAAAATCTTTAAAAAAAAAAAAAAGAGGAAAATTATGTTCACATGAAAATATATACATAAATGTTTACACCAATTCTATTCATAACTGGCCCAAACTGGAAACAACCCAAATGTCCTCCATTAGGTGGATGCCCAAACGAACTGAGGTGCGTCAAAACAGTGCTACTACTCAGCAACAAAAAGGAATACACTACTGATAGACACAACAACTTGGCTGAATCTCAAAGGCATGATGCTGAATAAAAGAAGCCAATTTCAAAAGGTTACCTACTACACGATTCCATTCATAGGACATTCTCAGAAAGACAAAACTGTAGTCACCACGAAGAGATCAGTGATTGCCACGGTCTGGGGTGGGGTAGAGGTTACCATAGAGGGACAGCATGAGGCAGTCTTGTGGGGTGGTCAAACTATTCTCTATCCTACTGTAGTAGTTGCTTACAAAAATCTATACACATCCCATGGGGCACCGGGCTGGCTCAGTTGGTACAGCATGCAACTCTTGATCTCAGGGTTATGAGTTCAAGCCCACTTTATTTTTAAGATCACTTAAAAATAAAACATTAAAAAAAAACTAAACTCATCCCCAAAAAGTCCATTTTACTGCACGATAATTTTTAAGGTAAAATAAAAGATTCTTTAATTCTTCTGCAGATAACTGGTTAACTAAATAGGGGCTAAAAAAAGTTACAACCTTACCTCTTGTTATATATCAAAACACATTCCAAATAAACTAAAAAGTTAAATATAAATTATGAAGTAATACTGATCCTCTTAATATACATGAAGCTCTTACAAATAAATAAAAAAAAATGAACACTTTCACAGAAAAATGGGCCAAGACATGAAGAAACAAGAATTGAACTATGAAAAAGTCTTATCTCACCAATAATCAAATAAATGGACAATCAAAAAACGAGCTAATATTTTTTGGCAACTGCATTATAAAAACAAAACAAAATGAAAATAAAAAACCTTAAAAGAATAATAACACCAATACTGGCAAGGGTGGGAAAAGGAACCCCCCCCAAAAAACTATAGTCTGATATGTTAAGTGTTATAACATTTCCTAAAGGTAATTTGGAATATATATCAAAACCCTCAACTCACACACACATACTCTTTTTCCATTTCAGGAATTTACTAAGAAACTAAGCAGACTAGTGCAGAAAAATGTATGCAGAAGAGTCATAACATCATTACTTATAATAATGAAAAACAAATACTTTAAAAAGATAAAATTAATTATTCTTATATGATGTGGGAAGCAAAGGCAAAAGAAAAATTAAATTTCCTTACTTCTTACAGCCCATTGACAAATCCTTCAAACAGGCAGAGTGACATTCCCTTAGGAACTTGGCTGCCTGGATTTGATACTTAATAAGGGCAAAAGGCAATCTTAGCTTAACATTATCCCAACCCCCCAGGATCTTGTAAATCTACTTTAACACATAAAAATTCCTTTAGAGGGATGCCTGGGTGGCTCAGTCGGTTAAGCGGCTGCCTTCAGCTCAGGTCATGATCCCAGTGTCCTGGGATGGAGTCCCACATCAGGCTCCTTGCTCCGTGGGGAGCTTGCTTCTCCCTCTGCCTCTGCCTGCCACTCTGCCTGCCTGTACTCTCTCTGTCTCTCTGACAAATAAATAAAATCTTTAAAAAAAAAATTCCTTTATGGGGCGCCTGGGTGGCTCAGCGGGTTGGGCCACTGCCTTCGGCTCAGGTCATGGTCTCAGGGTCCTGGGATCGAGCCCCGCATCAGGCTCTCTGCTCAGCGGAGAGCCTGCTTCCTCCTCTCTCTCTGCCTGCCTCTCTGCCTGCTTGTGATCTCTCTCTGTCAAATAAATAAATAAAAAATCTTAAAAAAAAAAAAAAAATTCCTTTAGAAACTTCCTTTATCTCTATCCCCCAAGATATATGTTAGTAATCATCCCACAAGCTTATAGCCCACTGATATACTTCTAAAGGGTCTCATGACTAGGGTTTTTACTAGACAGTAATAAATGACCTTTTTCTAACAGCTACCCCTTGAGGTCCTAGAAACCTTGCTCCCAAAATTCCTTAGAAACTTATGCTATCCCTAACCCCCTCCCAACTTGAAAGTATATAATCAGCCTTTCCTCATGACTCCACTGCAGCTCTTTCTGCACATGGGCGCTGTCCCCGTGCTTTCATAAAACCACATTTTTGCGCCCACAATGTCTCAAGAATACTTTCTTGGCTGTTGACTCCAAACCCTATCACTTCAAACCACACACCACTATACATCCATATACTAGAATACTAAGTTGCCATTAAAAATCAAGTTATCTGAACTGTCACCGAAATAAGATTATGTTATTTTAGTCATCACTGCTGTAACTCCCTTCTGGTCTCCAAAGCAAAAGGAAAGATTTTTGTTCAATGACAAAACAATGATCATGGTATAATGCAAAATTTCAAAGAAAGCAGGATATAAAAGCATATATAAGCCAAACTCTATTTTTTTAAACATTTATGCATGTGCCACAATATTATTTCTCAGTGGTGAGATTAGGGGTGACTTTTTATTCATCTTTTCTTTATTTTCTAAAACTTTCTATGAAAAACATTTATTAAAAGAAGAAAAACAACAAAAATGTATGTTATGTTCATAAATGTTTTAAAATCAATCTCTTTAAATCTCCCAAAATTATCCCCAAGAGGAGTTTTCAAACTTGTTTTCTAGGGGGCACCTGGGTAGCTCAGCCGGTTAGGCATCTGACTTCAGCTCAGGATATGATCTCAGGCTCCTGGGATCAAACCCCACATCGGGCTCCCCACTCATCAGAGAATCTGATTCTCCCTCTCCCTCTCCCCCGCTTGTGCTCTCTCTCCCAAATAAATAAATCTTTAAAAAAACAAAACAAAACACCTTGTTTTATAATCTAGATTATCTGCTGTTATCCTGGTCACAAACAAATGACAATTCTATGTGCAAATTTCTTCTAATTCCTAACCCCAAATAAGCCATTACCGCCCAAGGCAGAAGATCTACAGATAAAGGCATCTCATGAACACTGCCACCTGCAAGGTGCAGAATAGTATGTATACTGAGATACTACTTGTATGTCTTGAAATTTTTAAAGAATATTTCCATAATGTATAGAGGCTTATGTGCCAATATGTCAATACTTTTTTTTTTCAGTTCAGAATCAGAAGAAAGCTACAGAAATGGTTACCTTTTTCGGTAGGAGAAGAAATATGTATCTTTCTACTGTTTGAATTATGAACCACCAGTTTTTGTACTTTTTCTTTACGTTTTAACTTCTTGTTTTGTTTGCTGCTTACCATGGAGCACTTCTCCAGTACTTCCTCCTGGAACTTTAGGAATCGCTCCTGAACCTCAACTTCATTGAGGAAAAAGGCAAGGAAATGAGTGAAGGGTTGCTTTCTTCTAAAAGTGAGCAAAAGAACATCAATCCGAGTTCGAGCTGAAATAACACCACTTCGATGCTGGCCAGTGATTACTGCAAGCAAAAAAAAGAAAAAAGAAAAAAAAAGGGAGGGATGTTTAACATGACCATCCAATGCCTGTAAGATGAGTGACCTTAATTCTGTCATCTCTGCAAAGCTCAAACAGTCCTGAATGTGTACATAATTTCTGAACACGGAACAGTACCAAGGGTAAGAAAATTACTGAAGAATTCAATCTAAGCAGAATAAAGTTTAAAAACAGAATATCCTTAGAGTGTCTGGGTGGCTTAGTCAATTATCCAACTCTTAGGGCGCCTGGGTGGCTCAGTCTGTTAAGCAGCTGCCTTTTATTCAGGTCATGATCCCAGAGTCCTGGGATCAAGCCCCGCATCGGGCTCCCTGCTCAGCAGGAGGTCTGCTTCTCCCTCTCCCACTCCCCCTGCTTGTGTTCCCTCTCTTGCTGTGTCTCTCTGTCAAATAAATAAAATCTTAAAAAAAAAAATTGTCCAACTCTTGATTTCAGTTCACATCATGATCTCAGAATTGTGAGATCAAGCCCCACATGTCGTTGGGTTCTTGCTGGAGGGGGAGCCTGCTGATTCTCTCTCTCCCTCTCCCTCTGCTCCTCCCCCCAACCTCTAAAAAACAAAACAAGCAAGAAAACCAGAATACCCTTAAGAACACCTCATGAAGTAGAAAAATGAGTTAAGGGGTGCCTAGGTGGCTCAGGCGTTAAGCGTCTGCCTTTAGCTCAGGTCATGATCCCAGAGTCCTGGGATCGAGCCCCACATCAGGCTCCCTGCTCGGCAGGAAGCCTGCTTCTCCCTCTCCCACTCCCCCTGCTTGTGTTCCCTCTCTCACTTTGTCTCTCTCTGTCGAATAAATAAATAAAAACCTTTAAATAAAAAAAATGAGTTAAAAACGCTATGTAGCTTCCTAGCAAACCCCCATACCTTGCGGGTGGGAATATAAAATGGTGCAGCAGCTATGGAAAAGTATGGCAGTTCCTTAAAAAGTTAAAAAGAGAACTACCTTATGACCAGGAATTCCACTCCTAGATAGAAATCCAAAAGAAGTAAAAGCAGGATTCAGGGGCGCCTGGTGGCTCAGTCAGTAGAGCATGTGACTCTTGATCTCAGGGTCATGAGTCTGAGCCCCACATTAGGGGCAGAGTTTACTTAAAGAAAAAAAAAAAGAATAGATTTTTAAAAACAACATGAGGGGCACCTGGGTGCCAGAGTGGGTTAAAGCCTCTGCCTTCGGCTCAGGTCATGATCTCAGGGTTCTGGGATTGAGTCCCACATCGGGCTCTCTGCTCAGCGGGGAGCCTGCTTCCCTTCCTCTCTCTCTGCCTGCCTCTCTGCCTACTTGTGATCTCTGTCAAATAAGTAAATGAAATCTTAAAAAAAAAAAAAATGAAATACAAAAAAAAAAATCCTGAAAAACTATTTAAAATATATATATATATAAAATACCAGGTGTTCAAAAAAACTTGCACACGATGTTCAGAGCAGCTCTTGTGAAAATACCAAAAGGTAGAAACAATGCAGGTGCCCCGTTGATAAATGGATAAACATAATGTCCTATCTCCATACAATGGAATATTACTTAGCACCCCCCAGAAAAAGAGAATGAAGTACAGACACGTGCAAAAATATTAATGAATCTTGAACACATTACACTAAGTGGAAGACAGCAGATACAAAATGCCACTATATGTTTCCATTTACAGAAAGTAGCCACAACAGGCAAATGGAGAGGGACAGAAAGCAGATTAGTGGTAGCCAAGGACTGGAGGTAGGGAGTGGGGAGTGACAGTTAAATGGGTATGAGGTATCCTCCCTTTTTGGAGGATAAAAATGTTCTGAAACCAGATAGTGGTGATGGTTACACAACACTGTAAATGTACCAAATGCCACTCAATTCAACATTTTAAAATGGTCCAAATGGGAGATCCCAGGCTAGCTCAGTTCGTACAGCATGTGACTCTTGACCTGGAGGTCATGAGTTTGAGCCCTACTGTTAGATACAGAGTTCGCGTAAAGTAAAAATTGTCAAAATAGTAAACGTTATGTTGTGTATATTCTGACCACACACCAAAAGAGTATGAACAGTACATCAGGGGCGCCTGGGTGGCTCAGTTGTTAAGCATCTGCCTTCAGCTCAGGTCATGATCCCAGGGTCCTGGGATCGAGCCCCACATCATGCTCCCTGCTCGGCAGGAAGCCTGCTTCTCCCTCTCCCCCTGCTTGTGTTCCCTCTCTCGCTGTGTCTCTCTCTGTCAGATAAATAAATCAAATCTTTAAAAAAGAAGAAGAAGAAATTCAAGTAACAATAACAAGTTAAGAGCAGAAAATGGAACTTTGTCATGTCAATTTTACCTCAATTTAAAAAAATACTATGGCAGCAATTATTAGAGATTCACTACAGTGAGAAACCAAAGAGACTATTATATATAATCTTCTCATATATATATGAAAACAGAAAATTAAAGTAAAATCCTTATCTATACATTATATGGATGGATACCAAATGTCCCTGTTTTGGTATTAATTTGGCCTTCTCTAATCTGGGCTATGTTTTTGTGTATAAATGAAAAGGGGGGGCAGCACAAAGCATAGCCCACTGTCTGCAAAGAAACAAAAGCATTTGGGGACTACACAATCTCAGTGTAAGCAGATATTAAATCTCAGGCTGTAGAACCAATAGGGCTTGGTTCAAAAGAACAACTAAGGAAAGGTGCAAAAGATATGAGCAATGAACAAAACTGGCATTTCAATAGACTATTTATTAAAACTGTTAAAGACAGACTTATAAATATGATATAAAATATTGAAATGTTAACTCTAATAGTAGCAAAATGGGTTCTGTGCTTTAAAGACCACAAAGTTTGTCCTTCCATGCAACTACAGAAGTTAAAGAAATAATTCCATTTACTTATCCTAATACTCTCCATTAAAGGATGTGAAATTTTCTATAAGAACAACCTTTCTATTCCTCAATAAGAATGAAAATATCATGGACATTGGGAAGGGTATGTGCTATGGTGAGTGCTGTGAAGTGTGTAAACCTGGCAATTCACAGACCTGTACCCTTGGGGCTAATAATATATTGTATGTTTATAAAAAAATTAAAAAATTTTTTAAAAAGAATGAAAATATCATACCTATTTTGCTACAAGGAAACAAGATAGACATTCCTAGGAAAAGTAGATTCTGAATGAAAGAATTAATGAATGAATGAACAAAAGCCTAAGAACCATTTGCCTAAGTCAAAAATCTATAGGAGTAATAGCCAAAAAATGTAAGTAGACATATGGTGTTTTTTTCATTATTATTATTATTTTTATAATTTTTTATTTTTTATTAACATATAATGTATTATTGGCCCCAGAGGTACAGGTCTGTGACATATGGTGTTTTCTAATGGCATCATTTATATTATCCGGCAGAATACTTGGAGAATCCAAGACTCAATGCTCAGTGAAGGGAAGTATCCATAACAGGTACTCAAATACTGTGCTAAAGAAATACTGATAAAGGGACGCCTGGGTGGCTCAGTGGGTTAAAGCCTCTGCCTTCAGCTCAGGTCATGATCTCAGGGCCTACTTCCTCCTCTCTCTCTCTCTGCCTGCCTCTGCCTACTTGTGATCTCTGTCTGTCAAATAAATAAATAAAATCTTAAAAAAAGAAAAAGAAAAAAGAAATACTGATAAAGGAGTGTTCGAAGGCAAACTGGGACAAAATTAAAGGAAAGTAAAAGTTATCTCTGCCGGGGCGCCTGGGTGGCTCAGTGGGTTGAAGCCTCTGCCTTCAGCTTGGGTCATGATCCCAGGGTCCTGGGATCGAGCCCCGCATCAGGCTCTCTGCTCAGCGGGGAGCCTGCTTCCTCCTCTCTCTCTGCCTGCTTCTCTGCCTACTTGTGATCTCTGTCAAATAAATAAATAAAATCTTTAAAAAAGA